CTAAGCCCTGGAGTTTTATATGTGACTTGGCCCTGAGTTTGCAAACATTCCAGAAAATTGTTGCTTTTTCAGGAAACCAGGAAAGCTGGGGAATGTTGACTGTTGTTGTGCTGCATCTTTTCTCGCTGCTTGACTGAGCACAACCCCAAACACTGTGCTGGGCTCAATCATGTTTTCACACAGCCCATAAATAGTAAGGGGTGTTGTGTATATGTTTGACCACTTTATGAGAAATATTGTTGTGTATATGTTTGACCACTTTATGAGAAATACTGTGGTTATGTCTACACAGCACGCTTATTTTGAAATAAGCTATTTTGGATTTTTTTTCCGAAATAGCTTATTTTGATAGCACATCTACACTACAGGGAAGCCTCGGAATTAGTCCAAAGCATGCTCCCCTAATGTGGCTGTGCTACCACAATTTAGAGCCCCAGGAGGCACTGGGGAGGAGCTATTTCGAAATAGCTACTTCGGAATAAGCGTTATTCCTCATGGAATGAGGGTTACAGATTTCAAAATAAACTACCCGTCATTTTGAAATTATTTTGAAATAATGGAATAGCTGTGTAGACACCTGCCTTGTTATTTCGAAATAATTGTGCTTTGTTGATGCACCCTAAAGCCATGTCTACACTAGGAGAATACTTTGAAATTAGTACATTTGACTTAATAACTCCTGATTTAACAAATTTGAACTAGCATGTCCACACTACGGGGAAGCCTCGAAATGAGTCCAAGGCAGGCTCCATTAATGTGGATGCACTACCTCAGACTTAGAGCCACAGCGAGCACTGGGGAGTATTAGTTTGGATTACTCTGGGAAGTATTAGTTTGGTTTACTCTGGGGAGTTATTATTTCAAAACAGTGGCACAGGAGCATCCACACTATGGTTATTTTGAAATAACTCTTTTGGAATTAGTGTTGCTCCTGAGGAAAAGCAGGGGTACCGATTTCGAATTCCATGGCCCTTTATTTCGATATAACGGGTTTGGTAGTGTGGACGCTCTGCTTATAAATTTGACCTTGGGGGCATTATTTTGAAATAAAGTCCTAGTGCAGAGCAGGGCCAAAGGAGCACGCAGCTGTTGGTGGGGCTTCCTGTTTGCTTGGCAGCAGAAAGTACTTTGCAGTATCCTTTTATGGCATCCCTTATGGGCAGAGGTATTCGTGTTGGCTTTGCTCTTCCCAGCCATTTGGGGGCGGGGAGTATCCTTTAGTGCAACTTCATGGTGGGAGGTGTGGTCCAGGTGGTGGTAATGCAGGTTGCACACAGAAGGGAAGTCCTAGTGCATCTCCAGTTGGTCACATAAGACCAGAGCACAATTTAGCAACTTAAGGCACAAAAGCAATCATCATAAACTTGCTACTCTCTTGCTTGCAAAAGCTAAGGCCTGGGCTATACACATGTGCCCCGGGAGGACTTGTTTTGGACCAATTTAATTAGACTGAGGCAACTCTGTATGGACACTATAATGTTGATTTAAGAGTGTGCATGCAAGGAGACCTACATTAGTTCAACTAATTTTCAAACCACTTCAGTGAAATCAGTGTGAATACTGGACTGTCCAGGTCAATACTGGACACCTGACAATCCTATACACACTGATTTCACTGAAGTGGTTTGAAAATTAGTTGAACTAATGTAGGTCTCCTTGCTGTCTTCTGGCTCGGAGCAGGAAAACAAGATGGCCACCGGCAAAAAGCCTCGAAGCCATTGCTTAATAACTCTCAGGGTCCTTTTTTTTTCTACAACAATGTTGGTCTTCCCCTTTTTTTTCCCCAACAGAATTTTCCCCCCGGTGGTTTTTTTGGGAGGAGAATGGGGGTGTTCGGTATTTTTGGTTAAACCATCTGGCAACCCTAAGTGTGTACACTGTATAGACAAGTCCTAACGCTGTGCAGTTTAATTCTGTTCCTGTTTTCTTTAGGAGAGTGAAGCAGCTGGTACCATCCAGAGTTCTAATTGCTAATGTCTTTCTGCCTCTTTCTGCAGTAGCCAGCAGAGTAGCCAGCAAAGTAGCCACGATGATGATTCATCCCGATTCCTGAGTCCCCGAATGCGTGACGAAAGGTAGGCCTGTCCACACTGGGGAATTCAGTAACAACTGAAACCTCACTTAACCTGAATCTGCTTTTCGTTTTGCGGTTTTGTTTATTATCAGGCAAATTATAGCTCATATTGTAGGTATAAAACCATCTGGTTTGATGCATTTTCTTCCATTATATTAACAAACAACACCCTTATCCCATAAAGACTTGCACCCCAACAATGAACATGCACCAAGAATGCATGATCATGAAGGTATTTTCTGCAAACACTTTTCACCATTGCAAATGGAGTGTAAGTTGAGTATTTGTCAGTATGTTTTTTGCTTTGGGATGTTGTCAGTTTAAACCTAAAACTGGTAAACGTAATTGTAGTGGAAACACAGAAGGAAGAACCTGCAATTAGAGGAAATGAGATGAAAGCAAGTAACACATCAAATGTAGATAACATTTGTAAATGCAAGCAACACCGCTAATACAGGTTGTGCACTGACCACAGGTAGCCTTGCAGACACTGGTAACAGTACATAGAAATAAACACTGCCCATGTAGCAAGCAGCGCTGTATATGAATGCAGGTTATGCTACTGTGTCAGAGAGAGTCTCTGAACATAGCAAATGTTGATAATATTGATACCTGATCAGTTACTGATAATACATGGATGTGTGGATGTGACTGAGTGTTGCTGCACAGCAGGGAAAATAGAGATGTCTGGAATATTGCCACAGCATATAAGAAGATAAGAAGGAAATCGACATTCTAAATGTGTAGAAGAGTTTGGTGAGGTCATGGAGAGGACATGCCTGTATGGACTGTGTATATCCATTTTAAGGGGAAGAGTTGCTTAATGTTGCTGCTGGAGTCGGAATACCAAGATATTTGATGAATCAATGAGATAATAGAAAAGAGAATCCTGTGTTCGAAAATCAGAAGATGTTAAGTAGGAGGAATGTCTGTAAAAGGAAGAGGCAGGAGATAGCCTGTCAATTAAAGGAAGAGCGCAGTCCGTCATGGCCTAGTATATCTATATGTTTGAAAAGGACTGTCATCATGGATTGCACATTATGGTGGTTACGTCTTGCTTTACATGGGCTGATTTTTCTATCTAAAATGCAAATTGAAGTGTGTACTTCAGTGCCTAAACCTAAAGGCTACGTCTACACTGGCAGCTTCTTGCACAAGAACTGTTTTGCAGAAGAGTTCTTGTGCAAAAAGTCTTCCACAAGAGCGTGTCTACACTGGCATGTGCTTTTGCGCAAGAGCATCTATGGCAGTGTGGACACTCTCTTGCACAAGAAAGCTCTGATGGCCATTTTAGCCTTAGGGGTTTCTTGCACAAGAAATTCATATTGCCTGTGTACACTGCCCTCTTGTGCAAGAGGGCTTATTCCTTGTGGGGAGAGGATTAACTCTTCTGGAAGAAGCCCTGTTTTCCGATGCTAGACTGTAAATTTACTTGCGCAAGAATGTGCGTGCAGTGTAGACACCTGGCAAGTTTTTGCGCATGAACAGCTGTTCTTGCAGAAGAAGCCACCAGTGTAGACATAGCTAAAGGGTTTTGTCTACTCTGCAGTAAAATACCAATGACCTGAGATCTTGTGCTGGGAGCATCCCAAGTCTGAATGTCTACACTGCAGTGTTTAGCCCTGTAGCCTGAAACCCCTGAGCCTGAGCCAAATGAGCCAAACCAACCATACCAAGCTGCAAGTCTTCAATTGCAGTATAGACGTACCTAAGAGGCATAAGAGCTAGTATAAGGCACAGAGCTATTAGGGAGGAGACCTGCCTTCTGTTCTCAAGTATGATCTTGGACAAGTCACTCTTCGTTTCCCCATCATCCTCTGTAAAGACTGTGAGATTCTTCGGTGAGAAGGACTCAAGTAAGAAGTGTCAAATATTTTTTTTTTATTATTATTATGGTTAAGATGCCTTTACGTGGGTTTGCTTGGGTAAATAATCAAAAAGGGTATCACTGGAGGTGTGGCCTTTGTTTACTATGGGCTTCATCATTATCTGCCATATCCAGCAAAACTGAGCACAAGAAGAGGCAAGAGGCATCTCGAGCCATTTGCCAGTCTCCCTGGTTCCATATTGCTGTTCAAAATCTCTCAGTCCCAGTCTAGTGAGATGAATGAATTGGCTCGAAAAATGGCACAAAAGAGTACAAAGTGCTGTAGAAATTTTGGTGGCTACCCCTGCAACAGGTAACTGCCATTTCCTAAGTTTATGTTTTGGGAAACTGAGGCACAGGAAGTTTAAATGACTTGTCCAAGGCCACACAAGGAGGCAGTGGCAGCAGACTGTTTAGAACTCCTGAAGTCCTCACTCCCTCTTGCATCCCAATTACTTATATGCTTGATTTTTCAATTTACGCTTGGGCTTCCTTACCTGACAAATCATAAATGATGCATCATTACTAGGTTGTTTCTGGCCCAGTATAAACTCAGGGTGTACACATTATGATTAGCCCTTTTCTATCGCTCTGGGTAATGGCTGACAATACTAAGGTTCAGCTTCACCCAGTCTTCAGATGTATCCACGTTGGGGTGTGTATCGTTCTAGTCAATATGCACGATGCTTTTCTCCTTTCCCAGCAGCAATACAGCTGTGAGCACTGGGAAGAAACCCACTGGCACAGCTGTTGCTTTTGAAATCAGTTTTCTCCATATTTTTTGCAAGTCAAAAACTATGAAGTCACCTTCCCCGCATTTGTCTTCCAAACCTTTAGCCAAACAAAACGCCTTTACCAACTGATCATTAGCTCCCTTTCCCCCTTAATGAGCAACTGACTGAATGGGAACTGGCTCTGTGTTCCCAGATTCCTTTGCAAGGCTAGTGTTGAGACCAGAGCCATGTATGCACTATAGCTACGTCTACACTACAAGGTTTTTGTGCAAAAACGGCCACTGTTGTGCAAAAACCTGTGGAATGTTCACACCTCGAAGTGTGTTTTTGTGCAAGAAAATCTACAGTCAATTGGCAGAACAGAGGGCTTTTTGTGGTGTAGGTATCCCCCCTCCAAAAAGCCATAACTCCTTTTTGCACTACAGCTCTTGCGCAAAAAGACATGTGTGGACGCTACGCAGGGGTTTCTTGCACAAATAGAGCCTATCTGAAAAAGCACCATTCTGTGAATGGCCATCAGAGCTTTCTTGCGCAAGAGCGTCCATGCAGTGTGGACACCTCTTGCGCAAAAACCCTGCAGTGTAGATGTAGCTTATAGGATTACAGTGGCACAGCTGTGCCACTGTAGAATAGCTGTTTTCTCTAGCCATAGAAGAAATGGTCGATAATCTATCCATCATGGTCGATAATTATAATCTATCTCTCCAAGCAGGTGAGTGGAAAATGTTTGTCTAACTAGCCACATCTGTACTGGGTGAGATCAGCATCACGATGACTCTCAGAGTCATCTACTCTGACGCTCTACTCTGCACTAGTTAGGCCTCAGCTGGAGTACTGTGTCCAGTTCTGGGCGCCACATTTCAAGAAAGATGTGGAGAAATTGGAAAGGGTACAGAGAAGAGCGACAAGAATGATTAAAGGTCTAGAGAACATGACCTATGAAGCCAGGCTTCATGAACTGGGCTTGTTTAGTTTGGAAAAAAGAAGATTAAGGGGGGACATGATAGCGGTTTTCAAATATCTAAAAGGGTGTCACAAGGAGGAAGGAGAAAATTTGTTCCTCTTGGTTTCTGAGGACAGGACAAGGAGTAATGGGCTTAAAGTGCAGCAGGGGAGGTTTAGATTGGACATTAGGAAAAAATTCCTAACTGTCAGGGTGGTCAAATATTGGAATAAATTGCCAAGGGAGGTGGTGGAATCTCCCTCTCTGGAGATATTTAAGAACAGGTTAGATAGACATCTGTCAGGGATGGTGTAGGTGGAGCTTGGTCCTGCCTTGAGGGCGGGGGGCTGGACTCGATGACCTCTCGAGGTCCCTTCCAGTCCTATGATTCTATGATTCTATGATTCTAGGTGTGAACTGTTCACACTCAAGCAGGGCTGCCGAGGGGAGGAGAGGTGCAAAGAAGGCAGTTGCCCCAGGGTGGGCGATTTCCTGTTTTATTCTTCTGCAGTGCAGGTCTGATGTGTTTGCTTTACAAGTCAAAAGGGGATTTTGGTTTCTGCCACTGTTCCAGACTTCCCCAGGCTCTGGCAGCGAATGGGAAGGCAGGTGAGCCCTCTTTGCTGCTCTTCTCTGTCCACACAGGGGACATGGCGGTGAAATGACTTGCCCAAGACCAAAGATCCTGTCAGTGAGTATGGTGGGAACACAACCAAGAATCCTTGGCTTTGTCCCTGAACCTCTCCACAGTAGAGCTCCAAGTTAGGATACACTGCAAGTTAGGAGCTGATTGCTGATTGTTAGGCACTTCTGTTGTGACATACAAGATTAGATGGTTAAATGCATTGCAAGGAGGAGCTGTAATTTGTGTTTACTAGTCCCAGTTGCTCTTATCCCTGCAGAAGAGAGTTCATAGCCTCTTAAGACGCAGCTGGTATCAAAATGTTATGAAGGAAGAAATGCTTCTTCTCCCACCTTGGCTTCTCTCACGGGGCCAGAGGTCCTTCTTACGAAATGTCTGCTATGACAAATGCCCGTTGAAGCCAAATTCCTCTTAATTAATTCAGTAGGAGCTGAGCCAAGTGAGGACTGAATAAAAGCTTTCCAAAGACCTGGAGATTTGACTCACTCTGGAGACAACAAGTTAGCCCTAGTGAGCTAATTAATAATCCAGCAGTGTTTGGCTCCAAACTAGTGTTGGCTAGTTGTAGCTAGCCCTTTCCTCAAAACGTTTCAGTCCTATTATTAGTCTCACTGGTGCTGTTGATTCTGGCATAATTTATTAGCTGAGAACACTGCATTGTACTAGGTCACAGGGAAATTGACAGCAAAGCAGCAAATAGACGCTTAGATATTACCTGAGTTTTGTCTAACACTGAAGAACACGTGAAGTCCTATCTTGATTTGAGATTTGCAACATAAGAACAGTCATACTGACTCCATACCTAAAGTCCATC